TGTTCTGTGATTCTGTGATTCTGTGTGACTGAACCCAAGGAGAGCACAGGGCTTTACCAGCACCTGGTGTTGGGGACATGGACAGGTTTACCTCCCCTCCAAGATTCAACAGCTCTTTTCTACCTACAATTCCCCTTTTACAGTTCCCCAAACTTAGTGTCATGCTGGAAATATAACACATTCCCAGCACATCCCATAGGGAAGAGAAGTGGAGGAATCACGGCTCAGTGATCACCTTCAGTGATACCCTTCCCACAAGGCTACTGGTGTCCCTGGTGGTACACCTGAACCATTGAATCATTAAGGCTTGAAAAGCCCTCCAAAATCATCCAGTCCAATGTCAACCCAACCCCACCATGGCCACTAAACCATGTGTCCAAGTGCTGCATCCACATGGTGTTTGAACCCTTCGAGGAATGGGGACTCCACCACTGCCCTGGGCAGCCCCTTCCAGTGCTTGACCACTCTTTCAGGGAAGATATTTCTCCTCAGATCCAAACTAGCACTCCCCTGGCACAACTTGAGGCCATTTCCTCTCGTCCCATCACTTGTTCCTGGGAACCAGAGACGGAATCCTCCCTCGCTACCCCCTCCTGTCAGGAGCTGCAGAGGGGATAAGGTCTCCCCTCACCTCCTCTTCTCCAGTTGAATCCCCCCAGCTCCCTCAGCCGCCCCCCATCATTTGGGTGCTCCAGCCCCTCCCCAGTTCCCTTGTCCTTCTCCAGCCCCTCAATGTAACACCTTTACAGATGTCCTTGTTGATTTCCTAATTAAAAATTTCCCTCATCTGGTCAGTGGTTGCCGTAGGTGGTCCTGGTAGGCCAGGAGGACCCTGTGCCCCAAGTTCTTCATAAGATCACGCCTTGCGTGGATGGGAGCTTCATTCTTGGGTGGTTTTGTTCTCTTTCGCTTATATGAAGAATGGGGTAAGCAGAAGCAGCAATTTATTGTAATAACCCTTCAAGGTGACCAATTAAAGATCAAAAAATTCAGAATAAAACCCAGCCATAGGGCAAAAATCCCACATCACCATACATCACCATCCAGCTTCAGGTAAAAGACTCACACCAGGTCTTCCCTCTCAGCATTCCTAGTGAACCAAGCCCTGTTACTGGTGCTGGGTGTTAAGTTTCTCCAGTATCACTTAAAGCCAGAGGAATTTTTTTTTTATTGTGGGGCATTTTGCTGTCGTAGTTTTATTTCAAAGTCAGTAAGATAATTTTTTTTTAAAGCTTATATGTCTTTGACTCCCAGTTTGCAATCTAATTAACCGATCAAATAATGTGCTGCCTTCTAAGTGAAAGCAGAAATTCTCATGTGGTGATGTGGCTCTGGCTGCTGTGGCTTTAAGACCTTTGCCTTTAGGACCTTGACCTTTAACGCGCCATAGGGAGCAGGTGACACTTTCTGTGTCGACACAGACTTCCTGCAGCATCATTCATAAAATGGGTGCAATACATCACTTTCAGTGTTTTCTAATTTTAGCAGGCTTTCCGAGGGGTTTTGGCACTGTGTTTGTGCCAAGCCGCTGCCAAAACAGTTGTAAAACTGCAAACATTCTCCTGTTTTTAGAAGTGATGTTTTTTTCCTGTCTTCCTTTTTCTTGTAAAGTTACAACCAAAAAAAAAACCCAAAAAACCAAAAACCAGCCAACCAAAATGAACTCTGCGTAGAAACTGTAGGAAATGGTGAAACTGATAGCACAACTGCAGTCACCCGGAGTGAAAAACAAGCGAGAGGTGTTACACAGGGCAGCACTGGCGTTTTGGAGATGTGCATGGTTGAATTTAAACCTTCTTTTTATCATGGCTTTAAGTAACAATCTAGATTGTTTTTCCCCAAATCCAAAATTGCTCCTTTTTTTTTCCTCATTGTGCAAAGCATGGCTTGAATTCAGACCTGAGGAAGAAGGATGCTGCATATTTCACTATATTGCTGCTTGGAAAATCAGCAGCTCACAGCAAGAGAGCTTCACTAAACTAGAATTAAACAGGAAAAATAAATAAGAAATAAAAAGAAAGATCCATAATCTTGAGAGATTCTTGAGTAAATTTGATGTGGCCAAGTGCCCTGGGTTCCCAAGAGCAGAGCAGGGATGGAGCTGGGATAAGGCTGGGGAATGGAGAGTAGCAAAATCAAAGAGAAAAATCAGAATAGGCTGTTACATGGCACAGGTTTTACAGAAATGTGCTAAATCACTGTGGGAAAGGGAAATTCTGCAGTCTTTGAAAATAAAAAATATTTTTAGCAATAGAAGTGCATGTTTGCTTATGTATTCTTAGTTTGGCACTTATAGGGAAATTCAGTACCTTTAAAACTTATTGGCTGTGCTTCAGGCCACCAGACCTTAAGTTAATAAAAAAAAAAATAATGGAACAATTACAGAAGCCATCATCATCATGGGGTAACCAATGTGCTTCCCTTGCAGGCCCTGAGCGCCACGGAGGCGCGAGGGAAGATCCTGGGGTACATGGTGACCTTTGAAGCCCTGGACCAGCGGGGCCCCCGGGCAGGAGCCCACCTCCCCGCCACCTACTCCAGCTATGCCAGAGTGGTGCCAAGGCGGGGCTACAAGATTACGGTCAGCGCCGAGAACTCCAGGGGCAGGTCCCCCCCTGCATCCATCCTGGCCCACCTCAGCACCCGAGGTAAGGGCTTCTGCTGGGTCTGGGCTATCGGGGATAACGACAGCGCTCTGCTTTGTGGAAGTGCTGGGGTCCCACGAGCTTGTGCTCATCAGGGTCCATTTCAATGGAGCTTCAGGGATCACAGCATGGTTGGGAGGGTCTTCTGAGATCACTCAGTCCAACCCCTGCTAAAGCAGGGTCAACCAGAGGAGTTCACCCAGGAACACATCCAGGGGAACCTGAATGAGCACTCCATGAAGCCAAATTTGCTGTGCCAGTGCCCAGCACAACAGAGCCTCGTGGTCTTGGGTGTTTCATTCAGAGAGGCAGGTCTCTATTTGCACTTATCCTGGTGTAACATCTGTGAAGCATTTACAGAGCTGCTGCTATTTCACCTTTTCCAACCGCATCCAACATTTCTGCTGTGTTCAACACCAGCAGGATGCTCTGCTCCCTCAAGGGTAGACACACAGCTCCTCAGCCCAAGACGTGAGCCCTTCATTAGGCAGAGATAGGATTGGTGCTGAAATGTCATAGGTATTTCATTGTTTTATTGGTAAACAAGACTGGCTTTGAGGGCTCAGTTCTTGTTAGAAAAAACACTCAAAGATGCTGGGTTTATACAACAGATGAAGAATTGGCGACTTTCTTAATATTTTCTTCTGCAGGAAAAGGTAATTTGTGTCTAGGTGTGAAAGGGACAGCTTTCTAGGTGGAGGTGACTCTGCTTGTGATGTGACCCAGAAGCAGGGTGTTGGTACACACCATGACAGCATCTTCTCTATGAACAAACCATATTCAAACTGCTGCACCATGAGAAAACAAACATACAGCTCAATTCCTGCCAGCATAGACATCATCCTCTCACCCTCGTATAAAGAGCTTTTCTTTCAATGGGGGTTGATTTTTACACAGCAGATTACACCAAACTGGATGATACAAAACAACCCCCCCATTTATCCAACTTACTGAGTCCACCTGACGCCAAGGGAAGTGCTAATAGCATCTTTTTGGTTTCCTTGTCCCACCTCCCCTGTAAGCCCTTCCTCCTCCTCAGCAAGTCTCTGCTGCGGCCACGCGAAATGGCAGCATCCTGGTGAGCTGGAAAGCGCCTGAGGAATGGACTGCATCCATCAGTGGATATGTGGTGGAGTGGGCAGAGACGCCCAGGACCATGCACCCACCACTGCCAGCCTGGGTGAAGCTTCCAGCGTCCAAGTTGTCCACCGTGATAGCAGGTACTCACTGCCCCGAAGGGGATGCTACCGAGGGACCGCTTTGCTTTGAAAGCTTTTTAAGGAATAAGATTCTAGTTCTTGCTAATTCAGCATAAGAAACAAGAGCGTTTAAGGCTTTCTGTATAGGAGAAAAAAAGTCTTTCCTATTTCCTGTACAGTGCTGTGCATCCATTTTCCATCCCCACTCTGGAATGAGCTGAAAAAGCAGCATATTCACATCATTCACACCTCTGTGCTCTGCCCAGGGCTGTGGTGGAGTCCCCATCCCTGGAGGGGTTCACAAACTGTGTGGATGTGGCACCTGGGGACATGGTTTAGTGGCCATGGTGGGGTTGGGTTGACAGTTGGACTTGATGGTCTTAGAGGGCTTTTCCAACCTCAATGATCCTACAAGCTCCTGTCGGCCTCCCTTAACCTGCAGGAACAGCCCAAGGAGGAGGAAGATGTTCCCATGCAGCCAGAAATAGAGTGTGAGATTCTCCTGCCTCATTAAGTGCCCCCCACACATAGCCAAACTCCACACCTCATATCTTCGAGTACAAGCTGGGTAACAGATGTTGACCTCCACCTCCTACCTGGGGCACAGAATGGGGTCTCAGGTTTCCTCCGGGGCATCCAGTTCTGTATGTAAACACTTTAGCTAATGACTACCTACTCCTTTTAATCTATTTAGAGCACATACAAGCCAACATGTGCTATCAGATCAGCATCTTTGTGCTCTACCAGGACAGAGCCGGACAAGCAGCATCAGTCAGTGGATACTCCAGCACAGCAGGTAAACCCAATGCTCTTCCAGGTATTTCCAAGCCAGCTTAAGCTCAGCTTTAACAGCCAGTCTCAACTCTTGCAGCGCCATCAGCCGGGCCCCAGATGTACCCAACGCAGCAGGCAAACGGCATCTTGGTTTCCCGGGACACCATCCCTGCCCAGCAGCAAGGGGACTGCATCACAGGGTACCAGCAGAAAAAGGACAAGGAGGATGCCCTGGAAGCCTACGGTCAGTGGCTGGTGAAGGCCAAGGTGATGCAAGGGTGCAGGATAGGGGGCGGGAGAGAGGAGTCATAACCACTACAATTATTGGCAGGGCAAAACAAGACTTTCCAAAAACCCTGTCCAACAAGTGCACCCTTCGCACATGATGCGTGCTTAGCAGGCAGTGCCCACCCCATTCCCACTCAACTTATCTCTTACTTTGCCAAACTGTCAGCTTTTCACCCAAGAAATGCCTTTTTTGGGGTTTTGTTTTGTTTGGTTGTGTTTTTTCCCTCCCTCCCCCCAAACTTTATGCAGAAGTTCTAATGCATGGTTCACAGTTCCACTATGCAAACCTCACTTTAGATTGAAACATGACGAGAGGAAATGGCCTCAAGTTGTGCCAGGGCAAGGTTAGATTTGATCTGAATGGAAATTTCTTCCCTGAAAAAGTGGTCAAGCACTGGAACAGGCTGCCCAGGGCAGTGGTGGAGTCCCTATCCCTGGAGTGGTTCACAAGCCATGTGGATGTGGCACTTGGAGACATGTTTTAGTGGTGAACAGGTTATGGTTGGACTCAATTATCTTAAAGGTCTTCTCAAACCAAACGATGCTGTGAATGTATCAAGCAACAGCAGTCAGAGGGCAGGACATGCAATCCTGGATGTCCCATCTATGCAATGGCATAGGTCACCCCTATAGCACAGGGACTGTCACAGTCCTTCAGTCATTCGATAATTATGGAACCACAGACTCATTAAGGTGGCAAAAGCCCTCTAAGATCATTGAGTCCAACCCAACCCACCATGGCCACTAAACCATGTCCCCAAGTGCCACATTCAGACAGTTTTGAACCCCTCCAGGAATGGGGACTCCACCACTGCCCTGGGCAGCCCCTTCCGGTGCTTGACCACTCTTTCATAAATAAATTTTTCCCCATATCCAATCTCACCTTCCCCTGGCACAACTCGAGACCATTTCCTCTTGTCCCATCACTTGTTCCTGGGGAGCAGAGACGGACCACCCCTCGCTGCCCGCTCCTTTCAGGAGCTGCAGAGGGCGATTGGTTCAGTACTGGAACAGATGAGCAAATCCCTATTTTGGATCATGGACTGCGTTACCGAGACACCAGAAGACATTGCTATGTTACAAAGTCCTGTTGTTCCCAACAGCCCACCCAGATTCCCAATTTTAACTCAAATACATGTCAGCATGCTTCATGACTGGCCCTGGTTGCCCACAGAAGCTGTGGGTGCCCCCTCCCTGGCAGTGCCCAAGGCGAGGTTGGACAGGTCCTGGAGCAGCCTGGGCTGGTGGAGGTGTCCCTGCCCATGGGGGTTGGACTGGGGGGACTTTGAGGTCCTTTCCAACCCAAACCATGCTGTGATTGTGATTTAATTTTTTTAAATAAAGATAAATATTGTGTGTTGTGTACTTCAGGTGCTGGGAACTGGATGACTCCTGTGCTCACCTGCAGCTTCTTCATCTTCTCAGCCTGCATTTGCTCCATGCCTCCAGCAAGAAAAGTGTGAGCTGATCCATCCATTACATCCCAGTAAAACATAGAATTGTTAGAAGGGACAGTCGTGTCCTTTAGGGACACCGAGGATTTTGGGAAATCTTGGGGAATAAAGGGTTCAGAGTACATGAATAGTAATAATGATGGTTGGACTCAATCTTAAAGGTCTTTTCCAACCAAAACCATTCTATTATTTTATATTAACATATATTGAGCTTAAAATATACCCCTATTTTCTATAGTATGAATTTTAACTGAATCATGCCCCAGGTAGCAGCGTTCATGCCTTTAACTGCATTTTTCAATCTGCAGATTACACTCACTCTTCTCAGCACTTGTGCCGCAGTGGCAAGGCAAAGCCATCCCAGACCCAGCCAATGCCACCTGGGCCAAGAATTACCTGGCTACAAAGGTAAATTGTACATTTTTGGGGTTTTTCCTCCCCCTTAATCCCCCCACCTTCAACACAAAAAGCCATCGAAACTGTGCAAGTCATCCCTCAATGCAGAAAACCCAGCAATCCTGGAGCTCCATTCTCCTGTGGGATGCATTGGGCAAGTTAAGTGCCAAAATCGTATTATTTTTCATTTGCAGCAGTATTGGCTGTAAGAGGGATGCCTGCATTCACAGGGTATCAGTCACACCATTAATTATTGCTGCCCCTCTGCAGGCTGAGCTGTGCTTGCCCTCCAGCCTGTTCCTGCACAGCTCTGAAGAGCCGGAAATCACAAAAGTGGAGGAAACCCTGGTGAAACCAAGCCCCTTGGGCAGCGCGGGCAGCGGTGCCTGGAGGCTGGCGAGCAGCTCGGGAGAGCCAGGGTACCAGGCTCTGCCCAGCGCAGCTGATGGGGAGGAGCAGCAGCTCCACCACCTCTACAAGAAAATGGGGACAGAAGGGATGGAGCCCACGCAGCCCGAGTACATCGCCAACCCCATCACTGACACTGGGTACCTACCCCCGCTCACAGACACTACTGAAAACCACCTCGAACCAGAGTGCGATCCGCTCTCCGTCTTCCCAACAACCTTTTTGGCACCAGTGCTTTCCCGCGGAGGGAATCTCACTCTGGATGCAGTGAGAATAAACCATAGCTCCTTCACCAGGTAGGCGGTCCTGGCCACGGCCTCATTTTGTGCACTTCAGTGAAGTACTTGGGTACAGCCAGTCCATTTGCTTGCACATGATGTATTTCGGTGACAAAAACCCAAACTCATGAACTTTTACAGCACTGCAAGTCACACCTCACTGGTCACAGCATGCTTGGGTAGACATGGAGACCCCAGGGACACCAGAGCCCCAGCCCATGGGGGTACAGAGGGGCACAGCTGCCTCTGGGGGTCAGTTGAGGAAAGGAGAAATTCTCGCCAGAAATAAAACCAGCGGCAGTGCATGTATGCAGCAAGTCAAATGGACTGGTGAGAAACATTTCAGTCATTTATTGAAGTAGTCTAATTACAGGTTTGACGTATGTGTTACACAGTTAATGATTTTGTTTACTAGATGCGTGGGTGTATAAATGAAATGTTGGAAACCCAAAATTTGCTTCTTGTTTCCTCTGGTCATGCTCAAGCGCCACGCTGCAGCTACATAAATAAAAATGTGTTTAAAAATACAAGCTGAATTGTTGGTGCTAGAGATGAGGTGGTCCAGATGTGACCTTCCTTGGAGCATCAGGTGGCTGCTCTCCATCCCCAGGTGGCTACAGGAGCAGTGGCATGGGCTGGTGGTTAAACCCTCCTGTGATACCACCATCCCACAGCACCTCCATGAGAGCCACTACCCAATTTGGTGAGGAAATAGCCCCGTGAAGGTCTTCCTCCTGCATCTCAAAGCTGCTACCCTGAGCCATGGCTTTCCCCACTGCTTTGTGCTTGAAGGAGAAAGCAAACCCCAAAGTGCTGCACCAGGGAGATCTGTGGGCTTTCCCCGTTTTCACTCCAGATGTGGTGTTTTCCCCTCCACGGGAGGCCCGTGTGCTCCCAAGTTCAAAGGCACCGCAGGACAGGCCCGCGACCATTACTAACAGCCACCGCCTTCTGAGAGCACATGAGTTTTAAATCTTCATAGGAATGTGAAATCCAAGCCCTGGCACCAGCTCTGCCTGCGTTCAGCTTCCAGTGACTCCTCTCTGCACCTCCCTGCAACACCCAGAGCATTTCCTCTTGGGAAGTGATCGCAAGCACCCTGGCTCTTCAAAAACTTTGTTTCTGGGTATGGAAAACAAAGTAAAACCATCAGCAAGTGAGCTGTTGTCACCCACGGCCACCAGTGTTCCTGGGGAGATGGGTCCCGGTAAAGGTAGAGCAGCCAGCAGCACCGGATCCAGCATCCGCTCACTGCCACCAGCCACTGGACACCCACAAACCCCCCAAAACCAACCCTGGTTGAGATGTGTTCAGTGCCTGGAGCACAGCACCAAGGAACAGGGACTGAAGGCAGCCGCTGCCCAGGAAAAGCACTGAAGGGAAATGGTACAAGAGGATGCTGTCCACCACCTCTCCTGGATGTGCCAAGGGATCCTTCTTGTATCACAGCTGTGGCAAAGATTCTTCTTCTTGCCAGGTAAAACTCGGTGGTCCCTGGGACAAGAGCTACTCACCACATCCACAGCAGAAACTGTGCAGAGAAAAACGCTTCCCAGCTGTGACAGCAAACACAAAAGACAGCCCCTCGCTTGAGAGCGGTGCATGCAGCCTGCCTCGCCATGGTACCAACACAAACCACATACACTCCCCCTGCCACCCAAAATTTCAGTGTCAGAACTGGCAGGATTTTTTATCTACAGACTCCTGATAAAACCACATGCAAGGCAGCCCTGCAATGCAACCCTACATGCATGCTTACCAGTTTAGTTTGGAGCTGTATTTTGAGATTGCATTTCAACCCTGGGACTTGTTTGCATTCTCCCTGCCACCTCCACACCAACCCAGGACCTCCACGCCCTGTGACAGGTTGGACACAGACAGGACACAGCGGGGGAAGATGCACTTCCACATGGAAACAGCTGTGAAGAACAGTGAACTGCAAAGCAACTGCCCCTTCTGGCATCTGCGCCCGAGTCTGATGAAGGCAAAATGGTTAAACTGCACAAAAAGCACAGAAGGGGCAATGGACATCTTGCCATCGCTGCCCTACAAGTGCCACGCAACATCACTGAGCACAGACCTTCAGGTGCTTTCTAAGGAAAAAGGACAGAACCAAAATCCCGCAGCTTGTCTGGTACAGATCCCAAACACAACCAGGCACACTGGCCACACGCGAGTTCAAATCGCTGAGCTGAAAGACTGCGGTAAACCCAAGCCCACATGATTTACCTTCACTCTGCAGTGAAGGACACACAAAGTTCCTCACCTCCTGGTGTTACGATGCTGGTGAAGACCAAGCAGCCCAAGGGCATTTATCGGTAACTATGGGGCAGCTTTCACCCCGGGGCAGTGACCCGACACAAGCCACCACAAGGCCAGGCCACTTTGTGGGAACAGCTCTGTCAGTCCATGTCCTCCTCCTGCACTGCTTTTTCTCGCACTTGGGTGTTTCACCTGTGAAAACGTACATAAGGGAGACAAACTGCACCCAGAGCAGTCCCCGGCAGCTACACAAAGCCTGCGAGGTTTTTTTGGCAAGTACCAGCTCTGCCATTTCGCTTTTTTTTGGGCCAGCAGCTGGTTTACAGGTTTGGTCTCCAGCCTGGCATGCAGACATCTCCCACCTCTGAAGTCTGGCTTGGTGTCGCTCAAAAGCAAACATTTCCCTCAGATTTGGGAGAGACATCTAAGACGACACAACTCCCATTTTCGTGCTCTCCATACCCACCCTGACACCCGTTCTGGCTGGGCATTGCAGGCAGATGAGAACCTCAAGTCAGCTGCGAGTCAGACACCTACTGCCACAGAAAGGTATTTAAAGGAAAAAAAATGCAAAACAAGCACTATATTGTCATCTCTCTGTTTCTGCATATTGATCTTCAACAGATGGACAAGAGAACACTGCGTTTTCTCCTTGCTCTTCAGAACTCCACATAAACTGCCGTGCAGGGCTTCACAAAGCCTTAATCCATGGGACAAACAGCATCACGAGGAGGACAACGACCAAACTTTATAACTCCTACCTGAAAACCTCTCAGTATGGGCAAATGAAGAGGTTTCCCAACCAGGTTCCACCCCCCCCAGCACCAATATGACATTTGGCTTTTCTAGCACAGAGAAACAGGGGTAGGAAAAGAAGGCAGCAAGGTCCTTGTAGGGATTTTAGGAAAGAAGCAGGTTAGCAAAGGCTGCAAGTGTCAGCTTTAGGCATGTCCTGCGTTTATTAAAACAAGACGCGTGGCTACGCAAACCGATCTCCACAGGCACAGAGTCATTACAGGTAAGAGCAGTCTCAGCTCCTCCAACTGCAACCACCACATATTCACACTGACTTCTGAGTTTCAGAAAAATTTATGTCCTTTCCCCACACGGCTAACACTTGCATTTATTAATCAGGCTCGTTTCCTCCCAGCATCAGCAGCATTCGCTCTGTAAGATGAACTTTCATGCTCAAGCCTTGCCATTGTTACACTCAAAAGCCAATCTGCACCACGTGCTTCTGTTTCTCTCCACCTTTTTTTTCTGCTGACCACCTTTGTTCCAATTGTTCAGATTTTATAAGGTCCAGTCCTCAGGATTTGGCATTATGGCAAAAGTAGCAAGCAAGAGGACAGAATATGTTACTAAAGAGCAAGCTCATTAATTGCAAATAAGCTACTCGGAGATATTTTCCCAAGTCTGTTCCCAGCAATGGAAATGCCCAGGCACCGTGGCCACAGGCAGACAAGACCACTTGGGAGAACCTAGATGAGACGCTATTCATCTAAGTGTTTTCATCTCCATGTGTTTTCATGACATTTTTTAAAAGAGCATGAAAATAAACCTTTATTTCAGTTAACACCCACCAATATGAAAGATATATGGTTCACAGTTTTAGTTCTTGACACAAATGGACTCAAAGATGCAAATTTACATCTATCGGAACAGCAGATGGACCAGTTGCAAGTACAAGCTGTCTTGAAAATACCGTACGTGACATGCCACTGCTCTACGCTCTACAGCGGGAGAGGGGGAAGCTTCCAGGGCCCCAAATGACCGACCACATGGCCCAGAAGTCGCCTGGAGAAAAGCTTTGAGTGGCAACTGCAACAGCAAATACACAGTTTGGATACAGGGAGGCAGGTTTATGTTACAGAGAAAGCTTTTCCGCAAGTGTTTCTGCACATCGAGGCGTTTGTTTAACTGTATCAGCCAAGGTGTCCCTAATGCCCAAACTGCACCACATTCTACCAAACCACAGCGGGAGAGGAACAACTCGGCGCTGGGCCTCCACCAGCCCCTGGGGACCAGCAGGAGAAAGGAACCAAGAGATTTTACCATCGCCATTGGAAAACTTGCCTCCTTCTCACAGCCTGGAACTTCCAACTATAGGTGAGTGCACTAAAATGTCTAATCTGATGGTATTAACAGTGGTTTACAACAAAAAACTCTCGTAGAAAATAGTTCAGATAAAGCAAGCCAGCTAAACACCACAGTTAAGGAGTTCAGTATTTCATAATCAAAGGTCTCCAATACTTTTTGCCTGTCCTGTACAGCTTTTAAAAAAATAGGGCGTTACCTTTTGTTTTCTATCTACCTAGTTAAGAAACTACAAATATGTTATAAGCTGTCCAAAGTGTAAAACATTAAATAAAATGAGAAACCTGTTTCTAGTCTCCTAACAAATGCTGCAGATAAAAACCCTACGAAACCCTCCTTATCAGTCATTTTCGCAACTCCTTTTGTGTGCTGAAGCGGTAATCCCATTCACAGGGATCAAATTAAACCTATGGCAAATTTCTATGGGGGTAGAAAGGGTTTCTTACAATCACGCTCTGAAAAACATTCATTTGTCAGCTAGCAATGGGATCTCGAACACTGCACGAACCCAGACCTAAATTTTGACAGAGAGGTTAAGCATTGGGGTTTTGTTTTGCATCTTTTTGTTGTATGGCGCACAGGTTGTAACATCCCTGTTTGAAATGCTGAGGCGAAACTGCTGCCTGCAGAGCCAGGCAAGGCCCCTGCGGTTTCTCTTTGTGAATACATCAAAAACTGATGCACTCACATCTCCAGACCGTGCTGCTGAATCCCCCGTCCCGGCCAGAGTCCAGTTGGACTCTGGGAGCCACAGCTACCACCTTCCCTGCCTCCAACACCGGCAAAGGGTGCTCCAATCTGCAGGGTACCCTCTCAAAGAAAGCACAGGGAATTTAAGAACTCCTTTTTGTCAACAAAGCATCTTGTTCTGCTGGAGGGAAGAGGGAATAACGGTAAAAAGGGTAAGGGAAAGGTGTAATATGTTAATTTTTAACAACTGTTTAGACCAATTATCCACACCCAATTGCTGGATCAGTACAGAGGTACTGAACTATAAACCAATGTGCTTTAAATCTTTTTTCAAGTATCTGCTATCAATTTTGTATAAAGATTTTGTGGAAACAAAACACCAAATGTAGATGAAAAATGACTGTTTTTCCAAGTCTAAAATCAAACATTAAACTAAAGTACCCCAGGAGTTAGTATTCCATACTGCACTAGCAGTCTCCCAAATTAAAATGCCACATATTCCAAAAGACCACAGGCTGATAAATCTGCTAAACAGGAATTAAGGAAACGGAAAGTGTGGAATAATTAAAACCCAGTTTGCAGTTTGGGGAAAACGTCTAAATGCCTGAATTTAAAAAAAAGAAAACAAAAAACCACAAATGAAGTGAAAGCTTTTAACTGGTACACACTGTTCACACCTATATTTCAAGTTTGGAAACGCATATTTTCAAGCAGCAATACAAAAAAGTATCCATGAAGAATGCATAATCTCTGAAAAAATTATGAAAACATCCCTGCTACCATTACATTTCTAAATACAAAACTGACTACCATATTGTTGCTTCTGTGTAGCGAGAGAAGTTCATTTTCAAAACAGATAAAATTCAGTCTTTAGGTGTGAATGGTATGAATGACAGTCTCCTTTTTTTTTTTTTTTTTATTTTTTTTTTTTTTTTTTTTTTTTTTTTTGATTTCTTAGTTGTTTAGGATCCTTAAGCATGCAAGCCTCAGAGAGGAAGGCCCGATGAGGGCACGGTTGGCTTATGACATCCAGTTTAGGACAGAGCTGGGAAAGCCTCTGGGTCATCTACATCAGGAGCAGAAGCACTTGACTGAAAGAGAAACATCAGAGAGTTACGACCTTCAGTGGCATCGAGCCCCTCCTTTCTAAAATTACTTTATCCTGAGCCCTATTCAAACCAGGTTTCAGAGAGCTACAGACTACAGCGGAGTAAGCAATTAAAAGAGCAACTTTTTTCTCCCCATAAGCAACACTTCTTTAATTATTATTCCAAGGACTAGAAAGCCTCCTATAGTACTTTTTGAATCAAAAGTATCTGAGGAAGCACTACAGGCAAACAGGCCACGTTTCACACGATTATCACACAAGGTTACAAGTACCTCTCTTTATCCAGTCTTAAAGACATCCCCACACACGGGTTTATGCTATTCTATGAGCACAAAACTATCAATTCTTACCAAGGCACATGACTCAAGTGTTACAGAAAAGGCCTGTTTGCAACACTAATTAAGTTTCATACTTTTATTTTTTCCTGATCACAAACTAGCTGTTGATAAAAAGAATTTTTGTGCCAACCAACCCTTAAAAATTCATATATTAACCGAGAATATCTTTGGTATTTCTCAACAGCTGGTTTTTTCCCCCCCCCTTTTTAAAAACCAGTGCTGCAATTAAATGCAGAAATTAAGTCTTTTAGAATACTCTTCACTTTGCCCATAAGGGATGTGGAAAAGAACAGTAGGAAGAGCCAGGATAGCAGAATTTCCTGCTAACAGTGATTTATCAAGAGATACACTTAAACCATTCCAATAGAAGTTTTATCAAGATGTACAGACAAGACTAAGACAGACTGCAGAAGCCCACAAATTAGAGTTAAAAAGTAACATAGCAGGGTCTTAAGACTTAGTGTCTCCAGGTGCTGATCACACAAAAGCAGACAGCAAGCCAAAAAAGCCAATGTACTGCAGGAGGGGAGTTACAGTCCCCAAAACAGGAGGGCCTTGTTCACGGGTAACATAAGTGAGATCACCAACCTGGTTGGGTGTGTGGATCACATCAAACTCCTTAACCAACTGGAAGGAAAGAAACAAAGTCAACAGCAAATCAGCTGCACGGAAGTTCTTTTAACTACTTTATGAGAGCATTCTTGAAGAAGCAAGATGCCACATCAGTGAAAACTGACAGCAACCACCATTTAATTTCAAGTCCTTAAAACCATCTTATATTGATATTGGGAAAGAGCCTAAAACTTAAAGTTTTTTTACTCCAGTGTAAAAGAGAAAAAAAAAAGTCAGTGCCTACAAGAGACAAAAATGAGCAAGTCTGGTCTATGTGAAGAAAGCCACACCACACAGACTGAACTCATTTTGTAGTGAGTAACAATTTGATTGGACACATTTAAGCCGAATAAATATCCACATCAAATCAAATCTTGACTGCAGCTATACTATGGTACTTCAGCTTTACATGTTCTCTCGCCAACCTCCTTAGTCCTGAGCATTTCCTTAGGGCTTGGGACTAGGGAAGGAAAATAAATTACTGCTGATTAGAAAAAGAACACTAGGGTCCAATTTCCACATGAAAACTCTAATTTCCTCCAATTCAGGATATAACATGCGGCCCTCAAACCAGTCTTTCACCCCCAACAGGCCACAATGCGGATACTCCAGCCTAGCAGTACATTCAGATCTGTCCATGCTGAAGAGTAATTTTTTGGGTTCAGATACCAAGATTGGTACTTTTTTTTTTTTAATCAAACCTACACCCCACTCTGCCTTTTTTGTGTTTAATAATACCACTGCTAAAACATCCATCCTTCTGTCCCAGCAGTAACCTAAACTTTTAAGAACAGACACTTCACTTGGTTTTAAAATACAGTGTTTGTTATAAAAACAGAAATAGAGAAGACACCTGCAGCTACCTGTATGAAGTCCTAATAACAACTGAAATGAAACCCCTTCGCAGGCCAAAGCTGTACCACTTACCTTGTCAGTTCTGCCTCCACGGCTGGCCCTGCCACCACGTCCTCGGCCACCCCGTCCCCCTCTGCCGCCACGTCCGGGGCGGCCAAGGTCTCCAAAGTTGATCTCCAGCTGGGATGTAATATCATTTGCCGGCTTGCGGAAGTGGTGATCCATTACAGAGTCCTCAGCATGAGCCTGAAATGAGCGTTTCTGCATGAGTACAACAAATCACCAAAGAAACCTTTTCACCTGTAGTTGCACCCTTACCACCACAGCATATGTGTTCACCTCCAAATGCACTCCCAAACTGATGACTGATTACCTTGATTGATTCAAGTCAAAAGATAGTGCAGGAAATGTCAGGAATCAAGTTATACCACTTGTGCAGACAGCAAAACCACATAATCAAAAGAAGCGCTTGAGGAAACAAAGGTATTTTGCATTTCCAAGACAATCCAGGGAAGCTCTGGAGCTCCTTCAGAGGAACATGTCCAGGCTTGGATCTGGGACCAAGCCAGTGCAGGGTTGTTTTTTAGGATTTCTCCTCCTCTCACTTTGTATCCTGAGAAATCTTCAGGGTCCATAAATTAATTTCATTCTCTTTAAATACTTACTTGCTAACCCACCTTTAATTTGCTCAATGAGTACTTTACACTCTCTCACTTGCTTAGCCAGGTATAAATATTTAAAACAATGGTGATGGTAGGAATCCCTTAGTGGTTTGCATTAGCCGTAACGAACAGCAAACAAGGCAAAAACAGTTTAAATACAATGGAGCTGAAGTATCTAAAACATTAACGCTAAAACAGAGAACCAGTCTCACCAACTACACTGAAAAACATGACTCTCGCCACCTTTGCCACGATACAGCATTTTCTTACAGCTGCTTGCTCCCAGTGAGAAACCTGAGCCTTGAGGAGCACGATATGCACCAAAAAGTTACATCTAACACCATAAATGCTGCTATTCAGCACATTCCACTATTTTACATTATTATACACTGAATGTAAAAAGACCCAAGTGTTTTTAAAGTAACTCTTTTTTCCCATTTTGTACAAATAGTTTTCCCATGTGGTGAATTTCTGACAGCCCTGATGACACACAGAGCGCCAAACTGACCGCACTGGACCAGCCCAAGCGTTTAGACTGCCTCCCATGAGGCCCAGCCATCCCCTTCTGCAAACGTGACAACATGCACCTCTCTCTTCCCCTACAAGCCCCTAATTTCTGGCACAGCAATTATCACTTTGCTTGTTTGTTCCTACACAAGAGCCATGTGCAAGTTTAAGCCTCCTGACTCTAACTTACTTTTCTTGTGGTGCAATTACACAATACGCTGGCTTTCAAAGGCAACATATTGTGCAATTAAGCCCTTTACTCTTTAATTACCATTTTTTAGTCCTTCATAAAGCAGCCAATGGATACACAGAGGCTGGAAGCTGCTTTCAGGGATTCCTGGAGTCAGTCATAAGCACCGTAACATACAGAGCCCTAAAGCGCCTCTCCCTCTCCAGTCTCATTACCTCCTTCCATGGACATTTGGCCTCCATAGCGTCCTGCAGGGGAGGGCACTGCAATTCAATTAGGCACAACGAGAAATAGCCCTCCATGCTGCTTCATTTCAAAGAGATTTAGCTGGGATGTATTCTAGGTAACAACTGGTCCCCAATCCATTCCTGATGTGATAGATTTGAATTGTGCACCCTTCCCTTGAGATCTCTTTCCCAAAGTGAAGAAGTTACCCTAAGCAGTGATTTTTCAGAAAAGTCATGCCTGGCACAGCGCTACTCAAACGTAAGTACACCAGCAATCTGTGAAACAGCACACAATACCTTGTGTCATGGTTTTGATTCCTTCCTCACTAAATATTTTATCTACATTTTTGGTACTGAGGTTATATTTTCAACTTATTTTTAATCATACAGCATTCCCTTTTGTGACAGGTAGCATCAGTGGGTTTGTAACAGTAATTCCGTGCATTTCCTTCCCTACATTGTTATCGCTTGAAAAAAGAAACACTACAGTGTACAAAAAGCATTGTATTAACTTTGGTCTAACCACTAAACCAACAAATAGCAAATTCTATATGAATCTGAACCAATGATTTCTTTATCCAAAGTAACCAAGCTAACGTAAAACACCTATAAAAGACGTGGTATATTCTCCTCACAGTCAGGCATAGATTTACCATACAGATTGCTTATTTCGAATCATCTTTGGAACCATTTAATTTCTATGTACTGGCAACTCTCGGCAGCGCTCTGATCTAATAATCGATAGCTTCCTGAAGGCATTGCTGCGCTTACGGGTCTTGTGGAAGGCTGCCAAAAATTAAGAACATGCTACTAACAGACAGGGGGCCAAAGCAGACAGCGAGATATGGAAAAACAACAGCAACAACAAAAATAAAAAGACTTATGATAGAAGCACTTATGGTAAGGTTTGAATTCAACTCAATTAGGAGCAAGGGTACTAATTATGAAGGGTCCTATATGATGCACACTTAGACAACAGGCATGGACAGAAGAGCTCTATATTGTCTCTACTTGTATTCTGTTTTTTGAGACTTCTTAATATCCAGACCTTCATTTCAGAAGGCGCTCATATTAAAACACAGTTAGATATAAAGGATCAGTACCTCATTTGACTCCAGCAGACTCCCCTGCATTTCTGTCATCGCCTTTGTCTGATGAAAGTTGCGTGTCCACGCCAAAGTGACAAAAGGAACAAAGGGAGAAAACAAAAGGAAGAAATGAGACTCAACTACATACAGAAACAACAGGTAATAAGGTCACATGAACTCGCCGGGTACAGATGTCACTAAGCACACGAAGCAGCCAAAGGATGAGATCAAGCAGCCAGAAAGATACAGGATGGACTACACCATAGGCGTGGAGACAGGAGGAATCTCACATCGATACCAAACAAGTTTGACAAAAGCTGCCAGAAGCTCTAGCAGAGACCATGCATGCGGGCTGATCTCGAGCACCTCCATACATAGGGGACGCTGCATACAGAACCAGACAGGTAAGGGTGGGATGGGTAAAATTACTGGAAAAGGTTTCTGCATAGCCCCAATTCAAGAGCCATTCCTCCAGAATTTGGGAAGATTAACAATCATTTTCCAAAATGTGTTTCTCAGTCTCCCATTGCAACCTCCTCTAAGGAAGGGATCAGATCGGCAAGAAAGGTTGAAGGCACAGGAAAGAGGCACAGCAGAGCAGATACACAGAGTAGGAACCAATCCACTCATGTATCAATCTTTCCAGGAAACTGGCATTCAACTTTTTGAACTAATTTTAAGCTCTCTCTACAATTCCTTCCCATTTTTTGTTCAGCTGCATCAGAACTTAAGACTCAAAGCCACTATACCAACTGCAGAGAAAGGGAAAAAAAACCCAGAATATCTTTTTTTACAGCATAATCCAATCTCCTGGAGTCTCATAAGACTAAGGCTGCCAATACACATAGATTTCATATCAAAGCAACAAGAATCTGAGACAGCATTAAGAGTTCATTTTATACAAAGTATCACTTTCTAGTAATTGCATAGCAAATGAGAAAAAGAGGAAAGACCTCAGATAGGGTCAAGCATTTCATGCCTTGGTGGAAAGCACAAGGAGCAGGAGAAGGAGAGCTCTTTCACAAGACTAAGGCAGAAGAGCAGCTCGAGATCCTCATCCTCCCCGTCCCCACACACTCCTAGGGCATTCCCCCAGCAGTTCTCAAGCTACAGGAATGAAGACAATCACCACAATGCTTTAATTCAAATCTCCGAGAAAACCCACCAGGGCACATTGTGATTTTTCAGCCATAAGCGTAGAGAAGATTTGGGGCTGAAAACCAGAATTTACCTATAAACCAAGTCATTTCCACACATCAACTCCTTTCTTATCAGTAAGAATCACAGAAACTGTACAACCTTAATTTCATGACTCAAAGTATGTCCAAGGGGACAAACAGCAAAAGAACAGGAGGCGATTGGTAGGTTTTGTTCATAACCTCTAAATACACCACCTTGTAAACCTGCTCTCAAAGGCGCCACAGTGAAGCCTCTCCTAACGCCCGTCTTACAGAGCTTTTCTCTTGTAATACTTAGCAAAAAAACCCCATGCTGCTTCCCACAGGACCAGTGAGCAATGAATCAGACAAGTGGGGAGATGTCTGCCGGACATAAAATAAAAGCAGGCTAAAAGCAGCTCCATTTAAAGTTTTATCAATTATCTCGCTTCTCTGCTTATACAGCAAGAGCTGTTTACGTCTGATGTGACAGTGTTTAAAATATCTGACTCATTTCTTAGAAGTTAACTGAACACACCTCCAATCCACTAATTCTGTCAGTTCTTCCACTAGTAATTTGATTAGTTATTCTCATTGCATTTGTTTGGGTTTTATTTGAACTACCTACCAATTCTACTCAAGAGCACCATCATCTTATACTATCACACATGCAGATATGTTAAAAAAGACTGTATTCAGCTGACTAAATGTCAAATACATCTGCTTCAGAGACCTAGGGAAGTTGCCTAGTGGTAACTTCCAGGACTACAGGTTTAGTAAATCTTGGTTAAGTACATAAATACTTCTGTTTAAATGTACTTTTTTAGTATACAGCAACACGAAGTCTAATTCAATTTCTCTTTTCTACACAACGCAGAGAAAGTGGAATTTAATGAACACTTCAAACACTTGCTGTGGTTTAGGGCTGGGCTGGCCACTAAGGTAAACAAAAAGGTACGCAATCATTTCAAGAACTGAACTACCTTAGAAAGCAAGAAAATAAAACAGCATGACTGTGGCAAAGCCAAACTCATTATGCGTTCAATGAGTTTAGAAATGGAGTCTTCATTGGAAAGGACTGAACGGTGCCTCCCCATCATGTCCCCAGATTACAAGAACACACTGACTAGGTGTGAAAGAAGCAAAAATACTTATTAGAAGACCAAAGAGCACATCACACACTATTCAGTTATTTCAAAGAAAGTCAGAGCCAGCTGGTATACGAAGCTGCAGGCCAACGCTTAGCAGTGGGCTGCTTAAGATATTACAGAGAGTTAAAAACAAAGATTAAATCCCAAGATTAATGCAGCCCTGTATTAGAAAACAGAGCTCTAAACATTTCACTCCCTCTGAAGTGAAAGAGTATGTCTCTCCTTGCCACTCTCATTAGCCTGGAATAATAACAGAATAATTAAAATTTTGCAATGACCAAAATGAGCATGCCTGAGAAGCTCCAATTTTAAACTAATTTTACAGCAACTATGTTGAGCATCACTGAAGTACACAAATGTATTTCACCTTGTTTCTCCAAAGCTTCAAGGACCTTCATCTATATAATATTACTAAATTAGAAGATACCTATGTCACAAACTTAAGATATACAGGTGTCTGTGGAAGGTTTCTAAGGCATGGCAAGTAAATCTTACTTCTCAATCTTACATCACATTTAGCAAGCACCATAAACTAGACTAACAGAGATGCTAAATAACATAAGCTTTCTTTAAAAAAGCAATGAAGTCAAATTTTGACAAACTTTTCCAAAACGCTCACCAGGAGCCAGTTACCTGCCCACACGCAGCAGCATTCCAGATTTATCTCTAATACACCAACCTAAGGGTCCAGATCAACTGCTAACACTAACTATGGACAGAATGGCTACTTATGCTACCATTTAACTTCAGCTTAAGAGAAATGCTGGTCCTAATTTATAAACCTTTTAGCTACAGGTCAGCGTCTCCAAGAACGGAGCTTCTACTCCAAGAAGTACACATCAAGAGAAAAACCGATACAATCTGGATACTGGCAAGTACTGAAAAATCACTTTACCTCCTCGCTCTTTGACTTGTGAAGAACAAATCCTTTTTTCCATTGCCCGTCAGCACCCTCGTTTGGTTTACGGATGTTGAACTCTACTTTCGCACGATCCTTACTTTGAATAGCTTTCCACTCATCCAGGGTCATTTCCTTAGGACCTTCTTCCTTAACTTCTTCAACCTCATTCTCTCTGTAGTAAATTCAGATATTATGATCATGACTTAAAACTCACATTCTAGATACAATAACTCCTTTATTGAAGGAAAGAGAATTATTAATTTTCCAGCTAACTGAAACCATTTTTATTTTTTGGCTAACATGAAAAAACAAAAGCACACAACTTAGTTGCTTGTGCAATGTATCACCTCATTGTAAATCTTCAGTGCCTACATTCTGCCAAAGAGCTATTTTTAGGTAAAGCACACAATTGCTATGCTCAGTAACAGATTGTGCTCCAACTAGACACGCAGTCAGTCCTCAAGTCACTCCACAGTGCATTTATGCAACTCAATTTCACATTTATAGAAAACTAGTGCCATGTATGTGCAGCAAAAAAAAAAAGCCTCAACTTAGGAGAGGAGGTCTTTGTTTTTAGCCATTAATTTTTATGTAATAATGCAAAGGTTTTACGTCAAAATTACTGTATTTCAATTTTTTCTCCTTCTAGGACAGAATCATTTTTGACATGGTATACATTCAGAAGCATTTTTTTGTTGTTGTTCAAGGAAAAGATATTAACCCTTGGCATTGTGCACATGCAAAATGTGCAGTAAAATAACCCAGTTCTGCAGAACCATTTAGGTTAGAGAGCCACACCAAACCAGCCACCCTGAGAAATAACCCATGTAAAGACACTTTTCTGTACAGATAACTGATGGATTGCAAGAGATATGCTACACTTGAAACTGAAAAGAATACACATTTTCTGCAGATCTGAGGAAGAAGAAACACACAAATAGGCTGCAGAATTTTGCAGGTAACTGATCTGCATACGGACAGGGCAGCATCAGGTTGAACGCAAGGACACTGCTACCAATAAAGATCCACAAAATACTGCAGACATAGCAAACTTTATATATCCAGACTTCCAATACATACAACTTTTTAAAGAACTAGCTAGCTTGCATTTTCTGACCAATGCCCAAGCTGTAATTCCTTAAAAATTCTCATACAGCTTCTATATACAAGGTGATCTTAACTTCGGACCATCACAACCCTGGAAAAAGTAGTAACACTCAGTCTTTTTTTTTTTTAGTTAAGGTAAATTCATTTCTTATTCTCCAGTAACTGTACCCTCTTTACCCACTAACTAAAGTTATTAATAAGGAAATCAAGCTGTAGCAAACTCCATATTAGAACTCTCAGGCAAACAAGTATTTCAAAACTCTCTCATATCTGCCATTTCCTTTTGAGTTCCCCATAAAGCACATACTTGATTAAAATAAAACATGTTATCATACTAGCTACAAGGAAAATCTGTATCACATATTTTTACATCAATTTAAGCATCACTACTGCTCCTTCTGCTTCTCTAGTTATTGCACCTCATTCACTCAGTCACTGGCTTCTGCTGTAACAGTGTCCAAGTGGAATGAGGAGCAATCAAGTTAACTCCTTTGAAAACCACTGGTATACACAGCAGCTGGAGAACCAAAGCCAAACAACCTTTCTCCTGCAGGCCAGGTACAGAGTCTCCACAGTTGTTTTGAAAAACTAAGTTTAAAAAAAGTTGCCTTCCAGCATCAGAACAACACTTCTGTCCCTTTTGCTTGGTTGGTCCACCTAACTATGAGCACAGATGCTTTTAGATTGGGTACTTAGGAGTTGCAATCCCAAGACTCTAAGCATATTAGAGCCGATTATTAATAACTAAATCTGAAAGTGAGCTAAGAGCCTGCACAACACTAATGAACAGTTTCAAGTTAACAGTTTTTAGACAGTTTTTAAAGAGTCTTTCAGCAGCACAGTGGGTAATTTCCTATCTACTGAAGAAAGTATAACCTGATTTCGGCAAAACAGAAGTAGGCATCAATACCAGAGGCTAAAGGCAATTAATATTACCTCTGAAGAAAGCAAAGAGCATGAATCGGGGTGGTACTCACTTATTTTCAGAATCAGCAGGCGGATGTTCCTCTCCCTCTGGCGTTTCCTCAGTTACAGCTGACTGATCCAATTCACTGCAATTACATAATGTTTGGAGCGGTGTTTTTTTAAAAGTTCATCGCTATTTAAAGCTACGTAACACTGATGACTAAGTTTTATAGTGGATTTACACAATCCACTTTTCTTTAAAGATAACTATTTCTTTAAGATTGGGTGCTCTCTGTGCCTTTTAACTTCTATGTTTTCCACCTTCCTAACGGTTTTCCCCAACACTTACTAGCACCCATTCTGAAAGCCTCCCGCTGTGCCTTGAAACAAAATGGATTTGGGTATTAAAATGTCTGTTTTCAATGGAATACTTGTAAAAAAGCATGCTTAACCTGATCAAAATTGTTAAATTGTTCTATTTGTAGTAAAAAAAATGTTCAAAAACCAGCACAAGACCCCCCCCCCATTCCAAACTTCCCCAAAATTCTGCTTTTAACAGCAAAGTCATCTCTTATGTTACAATAAATCAATTTTTCTAACTTCTGCAAAGGCTGCTTTAATAGCATAGCAACAATTACCAAAATCAAAGGCAAAAAAGGCGGCTAAATCTTGACATTTTGCAAGCCCTAAGAATTACGATTTTTTTAACATGCTGCTAATAGTTTTCGGAACAATTACAGATTACTAACGTTAGCTCATCTTTGACGGTTCCCCAGTTGTGCGATCCGCTGCCACCACGCTTGTCCTCATGCTTTAGGCCGCTGAAATGTGAATGTGAAACAGAACTAACAAAACTGAGTTAACATTATAGTGTCCAGACACAGAAATTCAAAAGCAATTTTTGAAATGTGTATTAATTGTGAAGAATAGCCAAAAGCCAACAGGAAAAGTTAAAGACTTACGATCTATCGCTGCCACTATGCCTGTCAAATTCACGTTTGCCACGAGAGTCAAAGCCATCTCCTCTGCCCATTCCACGGCCGCGTCCACGTCCTCTGCCAAGTCCACCACGTCCACGCATAGGTCGGTCCAGAATCGGTCTGGCACAGAACAGTCAAACTTGAGTATTTCACCTCCAGAAATTTACTGCATGGCTCTTGAAGTTTTCTCTTCTGAGAGTTTTATTTACTTACTTATCCTTTGATAATTACTGTTTGTTAACTGTGTTGCGGCTCTAATTTCAATGCGAAATAATTACACTGAAAAAACCTAAATATCTAATGCCCACATTTTAGAGTCTGGCAACAAATGCTCAGCAGGATTACCATTCATCTGCATGTTCTGACACTAGTTTCCAAAACTGTGCTGGAATTGTGTTCCATCACTAGCTGATACTACGATTTCAATTTAACTCATATTCATCCAACTTACTTTTAAAAAGATTTTAACTTTGGCTACTAGAATTTGAACATTGCTTTCAGAACACCTGAATTCAGGATCCCAAACGATACTCGAGACACTCTGAAACTTGCCAAGACATAAGATGGCTTCAGCACTTCCAGATCTGAAGTCATTGCAGCCAAGGTGTAAACACCTACGAGGACAAACTTCTACTGGCTTGAAGTATGCTATAACAGCAAACAAACCTCATCCTGCAGGCAACAGCTATGCTTGAGTTCCTTTCCTGATCTATCTGCTACAGATTTAGAGAGGTATCATGGATATCTTAATGATTAAAATCATATTTTCAGTTAAACCAATAGAATCGTTAATGTTAGATCATTTCCAGCCCAAAACTTGAGTCAAGTCTGTAAAAGAGGAAAGTGTTAGTGTCTGCATGACATATACACTTCTTGTGACTGATAAAAATTTAATTCCATCAACTTAATTTTGTTCCAATTACTTTTCGTCTTCAACTTAGTAGCAGAAGGCAAGTCAGCCCCAATCAAAACCAAGTTGTCAGTCAAGACAAAATCCTTACTTATCAACAGAAAATTCTCCTCCTTCGCCTTTCTCATCAGCAGGTTTGTCGAAGCGGCGCTCACGGGGAGGTCGTCTCTCCGGTCTCCTGTCAATAGGCTTGCCTTCGCCCTGCTGTTGCTGCTGCTGCTGCTGATCAGGCCTCCTGCCAATCCGTCTTATCCCTGAAAGATCAGGCAAAACACATCAGCGGCATGGGGGGCTGCTCCAGGAGAGGTACTGACTCTTAACACTGTAAAATAATATTGAAGGTAATCTGGAATTAAAGTTTTTCTTCTAGCCTTATGACAACATAACCTGAGAAACAATACCTTTATTAAAAAGTCACTGCAGATCATTTAACTCTTCTCGTTTTTACGCAGCATTTCAATTTATTTGTATTTTGTACAAGGGCACACACTTACAAAAGTGTAGGAAACAAAACCTGTCAGTGCACACAATACATTAGTAATCTGTGTTCAAATGCTAAGGTCAACTCTCAAAGAAGGATCAAGGTAAGCAAAATCTCCTTTTTTTTTCTCTGAAAGGTGCTTTTCAGGTAAAGTGAGTGGGTTTTATTTTGATGTGCACCAAAATGAAGTCAGCGTCACCATGCTGGACTCAAGTCCCTCTGACAACCACCTGCTTCATCCCACTGCGCTCTTCTTGGGACCTTTTTTAGGCCAACAACGTGACCCAGGGCAGGGTCACCCTTACCAGGACTGGCGTCACTTGCAGCCTAGTACAGAGGTGCTGGTCAGGGAATAAATGATGTGTTTGTCCACACCAGCTCAATACAAGCTCCCTGACAGACTCACCTCGTTGAGCACTTACTTCAAATAGCTTAATACAGGGTGCCACTGAGCCTGCTAGCCTTCATCCCTCCCTCTCTGTGCCTTCGAAAAGATGTTTTTGCTAAATAGTAACTCCTCATGGGCTTTATGTCCTTCACTAAGACATCTGAAGGATCTTAAGTACAACTTTCTTTGCCACTCATCTGAAAGGCCTGTTTAATCTTCTTCAGAAAAAGCCGGACAAACACATTACTCCTTTGTTACACTATTTTCTTGCCAAAATGTCTAGGGGAAAAAACACTAAGGAAACCACCAAGGCTGGCTCAAGAACTGTGAGGCATCATTTAAATTAAAAGCTGTCAATTAAACTTTTTTTTTTTTAAAGAAACAAATTCCTGCCTAACAAGCAATGTCATATTTGGGTGGGGTCAAAGCTGTTACAGTTGTAATGATATCCAAGCCAACACACCCAAACGAACAATGTCACCCTTACCTTTCAAGCTGTACTTAGCATCAAGTTCGCATTGCTAAGTAACCCTCGCTCCCTGGGGAAACACAGGGGTTAAACGCACTCCAAGGACTCTTAAACTAAGGCCGAGCATTTCATTTGGAGAGGTAAAGCTCAGCGAGGAAAGGGCCAGTGCCACACAGGAGGTATGCAGCAGAACTGGAATGAACAATCCACAGCTTCTGAATTTTGAGTAAAACCCTCTGAGCTCAGAAAAACCTGGTTCCCAGTGAAGCCTAACCAAAAATACAAGTGATTTCTTTTTCTTGGTATCGCAAAGGTTTGAACTGGTAATTCACCAGCCACATAATCTGTATCTCCATAGGGCAATGGAATAGCTTTAAACTGCAATACGTTCACACAGGATACAAACCCTACTGATACCACGGCATCAGACATTTTTATCGTGTTAGGACTACTGTCCCACACAAAAAACAGACATTTCCAAACTGTAAAGCGGCTTTGTTTACTACAGCACTGTTACAACAGTAGGCCTGACTTTCTCTGTTTCACTACTACAGTAAGCCACAAAATACTTTTTTCAGAGTGAAGCAGTGCTTGTTCTTGAAAACGAATGTGAAAACCAGGAGGTAAACACGGACAGCAAGCCCCACCAAAAACCCTCTGAGTTCCTCTTGCATTGGCTGAAGACCCTGCCCACGTTTCAGGGACACCACCTTCATGAGGGACACCGCCACCATTCTGGATCTGATCAATACTTCCAGAGGACACCAGCTTAGCAAATTACCACTCAGGACAAATTATTGCATTCCTCACGGGGGAAAAACACAATTAAGTGCATGTACAAAAGATCTATAAGCAAGCAGTACTGTAACACAGTCGCCAGCTTCTGCTTCTCACAGGTGTTTTCAAATAACATTTGGGAACCTCACTTCCTAAAACAACCAGCGTATAAAAGTTTTTCCTTATAACACACAGTGGAGGATCATTTTACAACATGCAAATGCTGAAGCATTAAGATGCTTTCGCATAGTACCAAGCTCTTCTGACCTGTTTCGGAAAAGATACTTTAGAGTTAACCTGCACTTGGCAAGTGATTTCCTGATGCACACCCCAACTGCTGTCACCTCGCTTTGATGCATTTCAGGGATTCCAGTTTAATCCAATTCCATGTGCGCCCAGTTTGTGCGGGGTACTATCGCCCGCCACAGGACAACACGCGTGCGCAAAATATATCCCTCTTTGAGCAGAGCTGCGTCCTACTAATTATTTGCTCACAGCACATTCACTTCACCTATTTATACTTTGATTTCTTTTCTTTTTCTTAACGAAATTTCCCGTGCGGGATGTCTTCTCGGCGATGGCTGAGAATTCACACGGTCCATTATTAAAATACGCACACGATTCCCAGAGACACCCTTCCCTTGAAAAATGACCCAAGTGACTTTGGCAGAGCCCAGGGACCGCCAGCCACCCTGTCAGAGGCCTCAGACCCAAAACACGGTTTTTGACAGAAAGCTGAGGACGGGGTTTTCTGCTCATTTTCCCGTGCCCCGAGAACGGACGTTTGGGCCCAGCAGCAGCACCCGGGCACCCCACGCACGCCCGACTCCATTTTGAGCGGGCTGGGCCCACACGTGGGG